TTTTAGTTTTTAATCCATTTTTGATTACATCATCTCTTATATTTTTTATCCACAAAAAGATAAAAAAAGTCAAAAAAATTAAAAAATCAACTTTTAATCAACTTTTCAAAACACCTCTCAGTATCTCATTGATGACCTTAGGTAGGAATTCTTTTTTGCTTTTTGTTGGGAAAACTATAAGGTAAAAAAATAAAAACAAAAAAAAGGAGAAATTGGATAAATTAGGATTCTAGAAAATGCATTGAGCTTACTACCATTTTTGTTTTTTGGGTGTATATGCAAGCACGTCAAGTAGCATCTCTAATTCAAGAAACACAAAAGAAGTGGCAGGAATACAACCTAATTTTACCTTGCGATAAAAGACTTCAATCCAAAATTTATATCTGGTAAAGGGGCGTGTTATTTATTTTATTTTTTTGGGTACATCGGAAATAAACAAGAACCAAGGCACTTTCTTTTATTGGATCTATTAAAGAAGGCCAATGTTGAATACGAAATTCTAAAAATACAAACATAGTAAATTTTCACTATGTTTACAGTTTTTAGATAATAAAATTTTACTGTGTTCATTATTTTTAGAACGTGAAATTTCATTGTCATTTAGAAATTTCAAATTGAGAGATAAAAGAATGCAAAATTGAATGACATTAGACAGAAAAAAATGGAATTTATTTTCAATTTTGAGGGCTAAATTTTTTAAATTGAAGCTAATAATTACACCGGTCTCTCTCAAAATTTTAATTTACATAATGCAAACTTTTTTTCATCAGTGATTTGTGAGTCGTATAGATGACAAGATATGTTATTATATTTTTTCTACTAAAATATATATTTACCTTTATTTATTTTAGTATCTATCCACCATCTACATAGTTTTAAATTCTTTGGAGAAAAGTCAGTGTAATTACGTCAAATTTGTAGGACTAATTACATTTTCTTAAATTTCAGGGGTTGTGAGTGTAATTTAGCTAATAAAAATAATTTATTGATCCCTCATGTAATTATTGCAATAACTGGAAAAAAGAAAAAAAAAAAAGGCTGTTGTGAGATGGATTTATTCCATCCCTTTGATTCCCAAGCGATCCAATCATGTATTGAAGAACATCCTACCTCATCTTGATGATGCAACTCTAATCTTTTCTTTCTGCGTCCATTATTTATGTGCAATATTATATGTCAGTTTTTTTTATCTCACCAATTTATATTTACAAGTTTGGTGGTAAAATATTATATTACTTTATAAATATTTTTTAAGAAAAAGTCAACAATGAATTCTCTTCTTTTAGGAAATAATATTTTAAATAATTAGCTAATAAAAATAATTTATTGATCCCTCATGTAATTATTGCAATAACTGGAGAAAAGAAAAAAAAAGAGGCTGTTGTGAGATGGATTTATTCCATCCCTTTGATTCCCAAGCGATCCAATCATGTATTGAAGAACATCCTACCTCATCTTGATGATGCAACTCTAATCTTCTCTTTCTGCGTCCATTATTTATGTGCAATATTATATGTCATTTTTTTTTTATCTCACCAATTTAATTAATTTTTTACATCAACATGCACCGAAAAACAAAAAAACAAAAAAAAAGAAAGAACATAAGAGGGGATTACTAGTTTGATGTTGGAGATATAACATAAATTGTGTTTATTTGTGCATTTTGTAGTAATATTAGTTTAATGTAAAATTTATAAAATTCCATAAAAACTCTTGTTATATAGAAGGTAACTTAGTTGTTTTATAAAATGAAGGGCAAAATATTCGTTTTAAAATACTACCTCTCCATGGGATTGCTAGGGGATGTTTGTTTGGAAGCATTGGAGGAGGGATTTGACTCCATGTTCAATCTATTATGTAGTCCATTATTTGGCGAAAATTTATAAGTTAAATTAAGAGTCTTACCGGACTATCAATCTCATATATGTTGGACTATTGTGTCAAAGAGGGATGTAGAATAGAAATGGTGGGATTGGAATCTCATGGGACTAAGTTGTAAAATGACACATTATCCTCCAAGTATTTGATTTCATTATGTATTGTGTTTAGTAAAATAAAATAAAATATAAAAATCTCAATTAAGAAGTAAAATAAAATAATTTAATTTAATTTAATTTTTAATGATGTTTATTTACTTAATTTTTTAAACAAATTTTTATAGATTTTTTATTGATGTTTTATTTTAAGTTTTTGTTGATATTTTGTTTCATTTCATTATTTAATTTTTATTGATTTTTTTTTATTTAAACTGATTATTTAATATTTAAAAAAATATTTAAAATTTTATTTTAAAAATAACATAAATTTTTTATTGATGTTTTATTTATTTAATTTTAAAAAAATAAAATAAAATAAAATAATTTTTTATTTAATCTACACAAAAACAATTAAAATATTAAAGACACGTTTAGTATTGCTATTACTTAATAAATAATTGAAAAGGGTAAAATAGTCTATTAAGTATTTATCTTTCTTCATAATAACAATCAAACATTAAATTAAATAGAATAGTCATTTTCAAATATCTAATTTCAGGATAAAACAAATACGGGATACATATTTTTTCTAACTAAATAGTTCAGGGACTATATATCTCATGATTAATAGTCTGATAGATTATCCAGTCTGTCTAAACAAACATGATCTCTGTGGAAGGGTTTCATAATCCCATGGGACTCTTAATCCCATGGCACATTTCAAAAATAAATATGATTTTTTGCGGACCCACTCATTACTAATCCAATCGTATTATTCATCACTCAAAACAAATCGAGCCTATAGGTTAACAATAAGTGAAGAGGGTTGCTAAATGCGTAACTTTTTTCTTTGGACCCCTTATTTATTTTATTTTATTACATTTTTTTCCTAACATCAAATTTCAATTTTGTCCTCATCCTTATACTCCCAAGTCTAACCCTAACCCTAATTCCACTATTACTTCCACTTCCGTCAACACCTTCTGGCATCCAACCCATCACCATTTTCACTCCCGCCAGCAGCCACCACTTTCTTCTTCATCCTCACCAATAACCTTCTTTCTTCTTCTTCTTCTTCTTCCTTCCATTCTCTCTTTTCTTGAAACCCTAACCCTAATTCCATCACTGCCTACCACCACCGTCAACTGTGAGAGAGGCAACCTCTACTTCTATTCTTGGTGATTTCGCCACTACTATAACCCAGACTGTCAACCACAACTTCTTCATGAAACTCTAGCCACCGTGAGGGGGAGAGAGAGAGAGGGGGAGGTGACCTCTTTTTCCTCAAACCCTAGTCGCCTCTATCATTGTCACGATTTGAGATCTCAAACCTAGCCACCGCCGCTGTCGCGATCTACGATCTCAAACATAGAGGTCTCCGTTGAGATCTCCAATCCTAGCTACCTACATATGTGAGTGAGAGGGATAGAGAGAGAAAGTGTGTGTGTGTGTGTATATGTATGTGCATGTGTATGTGTGTGTGTGTGTGAAGAAGATGAAGACGGAGGAATGAGAAAGGGCTGGGGCGACAGGAAGAGGGTGAAGAAAAGAATGGCGGTGGTAGGAAAGGAGTGGCACTGCTGGTGAGGGGGTGCCAGCAGCAATGAGAGTTTGTAAATAGAGGAAATGGAGAAAATAAGGGTTAGGGGTATATTTGAAATTATGGTAGGGGTCTAAAGATGGCATCCAGTCAAACGACGCCGTGAAGTCTTTGTTGGACAGATGACCAACCCTGACGTTGCGTCTTGGACTTTAGATTATCTGTGACTTTCAAGTCTTACTTAAAAATAAAAAAACAAAAACTGATTTTCTTTTAGGAAAAATTGCATTTCAGTGTAACAATATTAAAAGATTTATATTTAAGAATAATTTTATATGTATCAATTGATTTATTAATTAATGTAATAATAAATGACGTGATATAATTTTAGAAATTTTGATTATTTATAATTTATATAATAGGTAAAGTCATAGTTTTGAAATAGTAATAGCATAACATATGTTGATACACTAATTGATACATGTAGCCAGTGGCTGAGTCAAAAATTCAATGTCCAGGGAGTACACATTGATCACAACATTAGCTTTTTTTTCTTCTCCATAACAAGTAACAATGAGATATTATTAAACTTATACATTTTTGTTTTTATTTTTATTACAATTATCCTTATATTTACATTAAGGTGATTCACAGTAAATAACTAAATTTCATTAATTAAATAATCAATAAATTCAATCCTATCAACTCAAAAAAAAAGTGTTTAATGAGGAGAAATAAGCAACTAAACAAATCCTATAATAAGAAATGAATTATCAATTGATTCAATTCTTACCTTGTCGTATCAATTAAAAGTGTACAAGAATAATCAAAATAATAAAATAGAAAATTTTAAAAATTTTAAAAAAGCAAAAAGTTTTACATAATTTAAGGAGTTCACTATTATAGTTTTATAAATGATACATAATATATAATATTTACATGGGAGCTTTTTTGATAAATCCATTTTCTAAGAGTTTTATTCCATCCAACCCATATTCTTTTTGACTATTCCATTAGGTCCAATTTGAGATAAGAAGACCAAAATATCATTTTCATCTACTTATGTTCCATTTAGTTCACATTATTTTCTCATATTTCAATAAGTCCTATGGGTGAAATAATTACCAAAATACCCTTAATGTGAATGTTCACACCGTCAACGTAAATGTTCATATCGTCAATGTGTAGGGTCCCGGCCCATGTCGATCCTCGTGGGTGCCCGGAAAAATTCGAGTCGGGCCGGGCCGGCCCACAGGCCAAAAAAATAGGCCCGGCTCGGCCTGTTGATAATATGAATATTCACATTGACAAGTTAACATTCGCATTGATAGGAGTGTAAAATTGGCCTGCGGCCCGTGGGCGGCCCGAAACCAGCCCGCCGCCCGGGGCCTGGCAAAGCAGTCCATGTTATGTCTTAATAATCTATTGGGTCTCAATTAATTTCAAAAGAATGCTTCTATTATTTGTTTCCATTTCTAAATGAAGATTAATGTTTTTTGCAGCTATCATATCAAATTGTTGATGCACTAATTTGGCTTGGAATATGGGACATTATAAATGAGTTTAGGAAGAAAAAATTGAAGCTGAGACCTGTGACATATTTAAGTGGTTCTTATAGTTCCCCAGATGTACCTTATGGATATCTTTGGAGTCCTCATCTTGTTCCCAAACCGAAAGGTCAATTCCCTGTTATCCATTATATTGCTGTTTATTGAAGGAGTACTGTAGTGTCAAGTCTGCACATGTATTTGTAACTTATTTATTAGTTTCTGTCCGGTGGCAAATTTCTGGAGTTTTTTTTGTTACATTTGATGCTAGAGATACTTTGGTATACTAATAGTTGCTATTTTTTTCTTTTAGCTCATATTATTCTTGTTCTTTTTCTTTTTCATTTTTCTTTCTTTTTTTTTTTAATTTTAATTAAATTTATCTTCCATCTTTGTTGCTTCTTCTTCTTCTTCTTCTACTACTACTGGTGTTACTACCACTACTACTACCTTTGTAAGTTTGTAACCTCATATTCAACCAGTTCTGAATGCAAAATGTTTCATTCTACATTTATTAATGTTGTTATGTGAGAACATGTTACATATTGATAGATCAAGCTTCATTGGTAAAAAGAACTGAACAAAAAGCTGCTTATGATTAGCTTTATGGTTGGGTTGGGAAAAGGAAAGCGTGTAGATAGAGTCCTATAATAGGCAGTGGAAAGGTTTTGAGGTTAGTAGACGAAGTGGGGCTGAAATTAGATCCGATCTTTAAAGTGGCAAGTTGTTGGAAATTTTGGAGAGCATTTATAATTGATTTTACAGGCAATACAAAATTTTTTCTGTGAGAACTATCAAAAGAAGCACCATCAGTATTTCTCTTGTGGGGAATTAGGTTCTTCTGATAAATTGTTTGGTGCAAAGGTACGAGTTCTTCTGGAAAATTGAACTAATATTTAAATGTTGACTGTACATTTTCCCCATTGGATCTTCATAGAATTCTTTTTGGTTAAGTTTAGCTATTATCATTATAAAAATTGAAGGTATTCCATCAAGAGCAAAATTTAGCCACTTAGTGTTTCTATAATTGAGGTGAATATATTAGCATGCCAATTCACATTTCTATAGTGAGTTATGTTGCTTGACTTTCTTGACCTCATTGTGAGCAGTGATTGGATCTGCATCTGATTTGCCTAAAATTTTACCTTCTAAATACCTTGTGGGTCTTTCCCTGTGTTTCTGCAACATGTGGTCTCTTTTACCATCCACATTGTGTTGCAAAACTGCTCCACCGTAAGAGTGCAGCTGAGGCAGAAGAGCTTCGGAAGAAGATAGCTGCTGGGGAATTTTTCACATGTCCCATTCATAAATGCGTTATCTGCAAACTGGGTGAAAATAAGTTGGAACCTGATTTGCAATTTGCAGTTTGCAATTTGCAGTTTGCAGACATTGTTCCAAGTCGCACCACAGAAAATGCTTGCCGGGGTAACCATTTAAATGTTTCCACAATGTTCCACTTGTTTCTGAATGCTATCATGAAAACGTATGGTCTAATTTAACTACTAGTTTTCAATGGTTGATGCTTGGTTTACTTTGATCAGGAATATTACTTTTGAAGATCTGGAGGATGAGGACATCCTGCAAAGGGCTTGGGAAGGTCTTATTCCAAACCGTATTTTGATTTATTACTTGTAAGTGCCCTTATTCTTTTTCTCCTTTATTTTTTCTGCAGTGGCTTGCAAATTAATTACTTAAAATTTTCCTTTTACTAGAGAACATGAGATTGATGATGAAATTAGAACTCCAAGTAGAAACCACATAAAGTTCCCAGATGATGGACAAAATAAGGAAAGACAAGCATTAGAGCTACTCTTGAGCAAAAGGAAAGTTTTGCAGAAGGAGAGAGCTCTGGCCTCAACAGATGCTTCCAGAAAGAGAACTCTTGGGAAGGTATAGAAAGGGGTGGATTTGTCTTCAATTACCACAGTGGATGATTCTTCAAAGAACAGTGCGAGAAAATTGACTGGATCCAATTATTCAAAGAAACAGAAAGTGGAGGATATAACCAGAAAGCCTCTGAACAACACTGGCTTTACAAAAGTCAGTAAGTCCTTCACTGATGGAAACAGGTTTTCCTTCGGGAATAGTGTGTACAAAATATATATTATATATACAAATAACATAAATTTTTTATTTTTTTTATTTTCACTCATAAATTGTAAGGACTACTATAGCGGCATCTCTCTTACATTATCTAAATTATTTGTTTTGATGGCATTAATGACTTCCTATATAAAAAAAAAAATGTAAATAAGGTCAAATTTTACTAATTTAATAATGTAGCTGTAAAAAAATAATAATAATAAATAAATAAAATAAGAAAAAATAAAATTCATTTACAATTTGGACAACTCAGGGCAATTTGGATTTAACTTGGGTTAGGTTTGGGCAGGCAACCTCGGGTTAAAATTTAGGCCTTGGCGGGTCTCAGCACAACTTAAGCTGGGCTTGGACAACCTCCCAACTCGCTCGAGTTGTACTCCTACATCTACATTTATAAACAGTCGTGCTAGAGCCTCGAATGCCTCGAATCATTTTTTTTTTTTAAGGATGATTATGTGTAGAGGTATATTAAAAAACTAGATATCTCGCACCCCGCTCGAACCCGCTCGAGTTACACTCCTACATCTACATTTATAAACAGTCATGCTAGAGCCTCGAATGCCTCGAATCATTTTTTTTTTTTAAGGATGATTATGTGTAGAGGTATATTAAAAAACTAAATATCTCGCACCAACTCAGCCTGTGTGATTTGATAAGGTGGTAAAATTGATTAATCAATTAGACTGTTGATTAAAATTTATTAATTGGGAGCTTTTTTGATAAATCCATTTTCTAAGAGCTTTATTCCATCCAACCCATATTCTTTTTGACTATTCCATTAGGTCCAATTTGAGATAAGAAGACCAAAATACCCTTTTCATCTACTTATGTTCCATTTAGTTCACATTATTTTCTTATATTTCAATAAGTCCTATGGGTGACATAATTACCAAAATACCCCTAATGTGAATGTTCACACCGTCAATGTGAATGTTCATATCGTCAATATGTAGGGGCCCGGCCCATGTCGATCCTCGTGGGTGCCCAGAAAATTTTATACTCTTGTCAATGTGAATGTTAACATGTCAATGTGAATATTCACATTGTCAACGGGCCGGGCCGGGCCGAGTCGGGCCCGCCCTGGGCTGCTGTCTAGTTTTATACTCTTGTCAATGTGAATGTTAACATGTCAATGTGAATATTCACATTGTCAACGGGCCGGGCCGGGCCGAGTCGGGCCCGCCCTGGGCTGCTGTCTAGTTTTATACTCTTGTCAATGTGAATGTTAACATGTCAATGTGAATATTCACATTGTCAACGGGCCGGGCCGGGCCGAGTCGGGCCCGCCCTGGGCTGCTGTCTAGTTTTATACTCTTGTCAATGTGAATGTTAACATGTCAATGTGAATATTCACATTGTCAACGGGCCGGGCCGGGCCGAGTCGGGCCCGCCCTGGGCTGCTGTCTAGTTTTATACTCTTGTCAATGTGAATGTTAACATGTCAATGTGAATATTCACATTGTCAACGGGCCGGGCCGGGCCGAGTCGGGCCCGCCCTGGGCTGCTGTCTAGTTTTATACTCTTGTCAATGTGAATGTTAACATGTCAATGTGAATATTCACATTGTCAACGGGCCGGGCCGGGCCGAGTCGGGCCCGCCCTGGGCTGCTGTCTAGTTTTATACTCTTGTCAATGTGAATGTTAACATGTCAATGTGAATATTCACATTGTCAACGGGCCGGGCCGGGCCGAGTCGGGCCCGCCCTGGGCTGCTGTCTAGTTTTATACTCTTGTCAATGTGAATGTTAACATGTCAATGTGAATATTCACATTGTCAACGGGCCGGGCCGGGCCGAGTCGGGCCCGCCCTGGGCTGCTGTCTAGTTTTATACTCTTGTCAATGTGAATGTTAACATGTCAATGTGAATATTCACATTGTCAACGGGCCGGGCCGGGCCGAGTCGGGCCCGCCCTGGGCTGCTGTCTAGTTTTATACTCTTGTCAATGTGAATGTTAACATGTCAATGTGAATATTCACATTGTCAACGGGCCGGGCCGGGCCGAGTCGGGCCCGCCCTGGGCTGCTGTCTAGTTTTATACTCTTGTCAATGTGAATGTTAACATGTCAATGTGAATATTCACATTGTCAACGGGCCGGGCCGGGCCGAGTCGGGCCCGCCCTGGGCTGCTGTCTAGTTTTATACTCTTGTCAATGTGAATGTTAACATGTCAATGTGAATATTCACATTGTCAACGGGCCGGGCCGGGCCGAGTCGGGCCCGCCCTGGGCTGCTGTCTAGTTTTATACTCTTATCAATGTGAATGTTAACATGTCAATGTGAATATTCACATTGTCAACGGGCCGGGCCAATTTTATACTTTTATTAATGTGAATGTTAGCATGTCAACGTGAATATTCACATTGCCAACGGACCGGGCCCGCCCTGGCCCTAGGACGGGCTTCGGGCTGCCCACGGGTCACGGGCCAATTGTACACTCTTATCAATGTGAATGTTAACATGTTAATGTGAATATTCACATTGTCAACAGGCTAGGCCGGGCCTGCCCCGGGCTGCCCATGGGTCGTGGACGGGTTTTGGGCAGCCACGGGGCGCGGGCTAATTTTACACTCCTATCAACGTGCATGTTAACATGTCAATGTGAATATTCACATTGTCACGAGTCGGGCCAAGCCCGCCTCGGGCTACGGTCGGGCTTCGAGCCGCCCACGGGCTGCAGGCCAATTTTACGCTCTTATCAATGTGAATGTTAACATGTCAATGTGAATATTCACATTGTCAACGGGCCAGGCCGGGCCCGCCCTGGGCCGCGGGCGGGCTTTTGGACGCCCATGGGCCGCGGCCCAATTTTATACTTTTATCAATGTGAATGTTAACATGTCAATGTGAATATTCACATTGTCAATGGGCCGAACCGGGCCCACTTCGGGCCGCGGGCGAGTTTCGCGCCGTCACGGGACGGGGGCCAATTTTACACTCCTATTAATGTGAATGTTAACATGTCAATGTGAATATTCACATTGTCAACGGGCCGGGCCGGGTCGGGTCGGGCCCGCCCTGGGCTGGTGTCCAGTTTTATACTTTTATCAATGTGAATGTTAACATGTCAATGTGAACATTTACATTGTCAACAGGTCGGGCTGGGCCCGCCCATGGGCCGTGGGCGGGTTTTGGGTAGCCACGAGGCGCGGGCTAATTTTATACTTCTATCAATGTGAATGTTAACATGTCAATGTGAATATTCACATTGTCAACGGGCCGGGCTGGGCCCGCCCCGGGCCGCGGGCGGGCTTTTGGCTGCCCATGGGCCGCGGCCCAATTTTATGCTCTTATCAATGTGAATGTTAACATGTCAATGTGAATATTCACATTGTCGACGGGCCAGATCGGGACCGCCCCGGGCTGGCCATGGGTCGCGGGCGGGTTTCGCGCCGCCACGGGACGGGGGTCAATTTTACACTTCTATTAATGTGAATGTTAATATGTCAATGTGAATATTCACATTGTCAACGGGCCGGGCCTGCCCCGACTCGCGGCCAGGTTTCGGGCCGCCCATGGGCCAATTTTACATTCCTACCAATGTGAATTTTAAAATATGAATGTTCACATCATTAAATTGCTAATCGTTCAAAACAATTTATAAGGGTATCAAAATTAAATATAAGGGCATAAGTGTCTAAGAAAATAGTGTAAATCAAGAAAATGGACTTTATGGAATAAAACTATACATACATGGGACTAAATGGGTTAAAAAATTCATTCATAGACTTTTTGAGTTAAAACACTTCTAAATTGGACTTATCAATAAAAATCTCTAAATAAATATATGTAAAGTTAGGGTATGTTAAAAGAGAGAGATTCTTTTACGTTTTGTCTTTCTGGTCCAGTTCCCAATTTGGAGTGAGAAATCAAATTAATCGTTTTTGGATCGATTTGGGAGGGATTCAAAATATCACATTTTATTTTATTTTTTTGAATTTTTTATAGTAAATTTTTAAAAATATATAATTTAATAGAATTTAAATTTTTTTTAAAAAAATTTCTTTTAAAACTCACTAAAAACAAAGGAAGCTAACAAAAAAAAACAAAACAAAAAATACAAAAAATGCAAAAAAGAAGAGAGAGTAAATTATAAGCACACCCTTTGAGATTTGTTTAAAATACAAACTACTCCATATAGTTTAAAAAATTACACATATCCCCCTATTAGAATTTTCCATTTAGCAAAATTAATTAAAAAATAAAATTTTCTAGCTGCTCTTATATAAAATGATAAAATTACTTGAATTACTAATTAAAATAAATTTTTAACATCATTAAAAACTGTTAATTGACTTGATGATTCATAAATAAAAAAGGTCATGTGTTATGAAATTAAAAACTTTAAGAGGTAAGAAATAATTTTTAGAATCATATAAGATAAATCATATTTTAAACAAATTTTAAGAAGTGTATTTATGATTTACCCAAAAAATATTTAAAAATACAATTACCAACCAAAGAACTATCCAAACTTTATGGGACTCGTTGCCCACAGTTGGCATGATTTAAAATAGACTAAAAAGTTAATAAAACAAAATGTTACATTTAAATAATAATCATTTTATTTTTTCTCACATAAAAGTCAAAAAATCTAACCTAAACGAACTTTTTAACTCCAACCTAAAATAGCTAAAAAATTAAAAAATCAAAAAATCAACCCACTTTCCAAATGAAACCGTTGACTCCAATTACTTGAATGACAACATTCCTAAAACGGTTAAAACTTAGGCCATGTTTGTTTGGCGGATTAATTCGGATGTGATTGTTAGTGAAAAGAGGGTTAGTGAAGAGATTATTAATATGAGAATTGTTAGTGAGGGAATTAAGTAAAAGTGTATTTGTTACAATGATAGTGTGAGAGATGATTAGTGATGGGATTGTTCAATTATTTTTATATGAAATAAATAAAAAAATTATTTCTATATTAAAAAAACTAAAACAAACAGGTGCACTTGGCAAAAAATAAAAATAAATAAATTTTTTATATAAAATAGGGTCAATCCGCTTATTATTTTCTTAATCTCATCCAAAATTCAGTCAAGTTAATCCCTCTATTGAGGAGGATTATTAAGCCCTTCGAACTATTACTCTCCCCTCCTAAATTATAACCAAACAAGTTATGGGTGAGACCTACAGTTATAACAATCCAACCCCTTGTAGAGTAGTTTTTGAAATAAAAAGTACGAAAACTTATTTGGTTTGTCTTTTTTCAGAAATAGTTTTGAAAAATTATTTTGAGCAGAGAGTTTTAAAAAAAGTGATTGATTTGATGTGTATGAGAGAGAGAGTGATTTTGAAAAGTAAGTAACCAAACAAAATTTTGAGATTTTTTTAAAAAAAATTTGTTTGGTTTGATTACTCTTAAAAATTTATTTGTAGAAAATTTTTCCACTAGTTAAAAATTATAGTAACTTATAATAAGTTAAAAATTCATAATTAAAAATAAAAATTAAAAATATTTCTCTCATAATTTTTAGATAATTTATTTAAATTATTTTTATCTACATAATAAGTTATAAGTAAAATTAGTATCAAATAACTTGGCAAACGCTTTAAGGATTAAAAAAAAAATTTATAAGCAGCTTAGTCAAACTATTCCAAACAAACTCTTTATATCATCATGAGATAAGAGCAACTCTAATAAGGTATTAACTTCTTAAACCAAATTCATTTTTAATTATGTCTTCATACAAAATAAAAATAAAAACTATCAAATTTTGACAAAGCCAAATCTTGTGATTTGTGCCGAATTCGGCACCAATTTACCTCATCACTAGGACGATCACGATCACTAGATTTTTTGAAGAGAAAATTCAATGATCAAAATTTAAAATGAGTATTGACCGTACCAAAATAACATAATAATCATTGGAGTGATATTGCAATAAATGACTTCAGTAAATTGTAACAGGTCAAATAATGGTGTTGACGAAGCCTTCTTGACTTTCATCATTTGAGTAAATTGTAATAATCTTATTCATATTCAAATTTCATCAAAAATAGTTCTCGGCAAAGAGTTTCTTGCTGAGGAACTTGTATTTACCTTGAGAGAAGATTAGGGATAGACAATTATGGTAGTCTAATGTATTGAATAATTAAAGTCAAGATATATTTGAAAAAGCTCTTGAGCTTTTCGATAATTCATTCAAAAAGCTGGAAGGAATAATTTGAATAAGGAACTTTGTGAATTCAAAAAAGAAGAAAGAATATGATACCTATTTTTCGTTTCCACATATTTGCTGTAGCATATCTATTCGTCAAAACAAATTTTTAAAAAACTTTTTTGGATTAGTTTTCTTAGCCTGTATTAATTAATGTATAACATCAAGTACTATTATTCCATAATATTCATTCTCACCCAAGCAAGAAATATAATATAAATTCTTGTCTCTGAATGAGAACAAAAAAAGTTTAAGTACATAAAGGAAATTTGATGGCCATTAATTTTCAAAAAATATATAATATTTTTTAAGTACATCAGAATATTTAAAGTACTACTTAATTACTAGTAATATACATACTTATCAAATGTTATTTATTTAAAAATATACATTTTTTTAATCTTAAATAATATTTGATCATCACATAAACATGTGTCTTTCATGTACTCTCCATTTATCTTTTGGACAATTGTTTGAGAAATTAAGCAATTTTCTTTTTGTCCAACTCCTCTCCATCTATGTTTTGTTATGATAGAATTGTAAGCCAGGTTATTGAATTAATTTAATTTTTATTATAATTAATGTGAAAACATAATTGAATAAAATAAATAATTTAAATCGTTTAAAGTGAGCTCATGTAGACCTCACATAACCCAACAACACCTCCACTCTACTATGGATTAAGAAGCCAATTCAATATAAAAATTATAATATTCTGTTTTATAAAAGTAATTAGAATATTAGAATATTGTAACAGTAACAGTTTTATAATTAAGAAATGAGTTTTGTAATTCGGGTCCAAAAATTAGACCAACTTTTTAAATTCAGGTCTCGTTGGAAATATACTATTTTAATTATTTTTTTTATTTTTTGGCTAAAATATGGGATAAAAAAAATTAGTATGTTTGGAATGAATTTTAATTTTTTATGAAAATATGTGCAAAAAATAAAGAAAAAATAAAATATTTGACTTTTTGATATGGGTTTTATGCTTTTTGATTTTTTAAATTTTTTTTTTTTAATTTTTAGACTAAAGCAAACACATGCCAAACGAGGCCTCAATGTCAATAATATGATTTGTTGATGGTTAAAAATTCTCTAATTATTAATCAATCAACTTCTTAACATATCACCAAATCTAAAAAAATGTACTTATATATCATCTCCGTTGAAGAATATTATTTTTGGAAATAATAGACTCCCAAACCAGTAATATTAGGGATCATGAAAAATATATCATGAATATTATCATGAAAGATTCTCAACATTTGGATTACTCATATAATAAAACACCACACACTAATCAAGACTAATCAAGGGATGAAAAATTTTCATGATACATAACCCAACAACAGCTCCACTCTACTATGGATTAAGAAGCCAATTCAATATAAAAATTATAATATTCTATTTTACAAAAGTGATTAGAATATTAGAATATTGTAACACTAACAGTTTTATAATTAAGAAATGAGTTTTGTAATTCGGGTCTAAAAATTAGACCCACTTTTTAAATTCAGGTCTCGTTTGGGAACATACTATTTTAATTATTTTTTTATTTTTTGGCTAAAATATGAGATAAAAAAAACTAGTATGTTTGGAATGAATTTTGATTTTTTATGAAAATATGTGCAAAAAGTAAAAAAAAAATAAAATATTTCACTTTTTGATATGGGTTTTCTGCTTTTTAATTTTTTTAAAAACGTTTTAATTTTTAGACTAAAACAAGCACGTGCCAAACGAGACCTCAATATCAATAATATGATTTGTTGATGGTTAAAAATTCTGTATTAATCAATCAACTTCTTAACATATCACCGAATCTAAAAAAATGTGCTTATATATCATCTCCGTTGAAGAATATTATTTTTGGAAATAATGGAATCCCAAATACATACCATCCATAGTTCACAGAAATTGTACGTCCTCTCCGACTATAAAATTCCACAACGTGCTACTCGAAGCTCCAAGGAACCAACCAGTCTTCTCTAAAAACCTCTATCTCTCTCTCTCTCTCTCTCTCTCTCTCTCTCTGAGTGAAGAAGTGATATATATAATGGAGTTTATTAGAAAAGGTCCATGGACTGAAGAAGAGGACTCGAAGCTCATCAATTATATTACCATCTACGGTGAAGGCCCTTGGAACTCTGTCGCTCAATGTGCAGGTATTATCCCCGTCATCATAATTTTAAATAACAGTATCAAAATACGTATCAGTATCAGTCATGCAATTTATATTAGCCGTTGAAAATATCATTTTACTTCACTTCCCTTCCATCTGCCTATATATGTTTATTTCAGTAACTTACAAAGCAAAAACAGGTCTGAATCGAACAGGAAAAAGCTGCAGATTAAGGTGGTTGAACTACTTACGTCCCGATGTCAGACGTGGAAACCTCACCCTTCAAGAACAGTTTCTCATTCTCCACCTCCACTTGCGTTGGGGAAATCGGTATTCATATTTATATATTTTTGAGAAAATTATACATAAATAAAAATCACTGTAATTTGTCTTTACTAATTTTTTTTTATTGACATGTTGGAAGGTGGTCGAAGATAGCTCAGCAGTTACCGGGAAGGACAGACAATGAGATAAAGAACTATTGGAGAACGAGAATTCAGAAGCAAGCAAAGCAACTCAATTGCGACGTAAACAGTAATGAGTTCAGAGACACAATTCGAAACTTTTTGCTGCCCAGATTGGTGGATCAAATCCAAGCCGAATCAGACGCATTAAGTTCCATGGCCGAGCCTACCTCCATTCATGACTCCTCTGCAACAGAGACATGGATGATCGCTTCATCATCGCAGCAACAATTCTTGGAGAAACAATCAGTTTTCACTGATTTCGATAGTGATCATGCGTTGGCGAATATCTGGCTCAATATTTCGAGTTTAACTGATTGGGGAGGTTGTTTCGGGGCCACTGGACTGACATCGGATAGGAATAATGCTTGTTGTGAACAGGACATGTTTGATGATGCTGAAGAAGAAGAAGAAGAAGAAACTATGGAGTATAGAAAAGCCTCCCGGTTAGCTGGTGGTGGTGGTGGTGGTTGGGGATCAGTAGACACCATGCTATATTATGATGGTGGTGAAGAAGGTTACACCAACAACACCAGCTTTGATTATCACTACACCTTTAATTAAAACCAACTTGCTTAATCAGTTAGTTTTTCCTTTTTATTTTATTTTATTTTTTTTTATTTTTAAAACCGAGTGTGTGACCAGTTTAGATGCACTTCAACTAATCCTAAAATTAACAACCTCAACTTGCTTAATTAGTTGATATGAATGAAAGCATAGCAGCAAACAGAGGCAAATGTGATCAATGTAGTTTTATTTTTTTGATAAATAAGTATTTTTGTTTTTTTGTTTATTTTTAAGATTTGAAACTTACATATTACTAGTAAAATGAGTTTTTCTCATTCTTGGCTGTGAGATCATGAAATATCCTCTCACATGGATGCTGTAGAGATCCAGTGAAGAGAAGAGCTTCACCCCTGTAGATCTGTAATGAGGAACATAGTCGGTGCCACCCAACCGGGGTTGCTGGCCGGGAGTACTCCGATGATGAAGGTAGTCCTTGAATCAAGAAATAGTATATATGTATATCAGAAGGGGTGTGTGTGTGTGGTGGAGGGAGAACATACATACCTTTCACTTGGGATGCCCCCTCTTTATATAGACGGGGGGTGTGATATTTATTTGGGCTGGACCTTTGTAGGCTTTGTTTGGGTTAGGCCCAATAAGCTAATACCTATAATTTTCTGGCTCCCACAATTGTCCCAAAACTTTCATTGTCTGCGGTAGAAGGAATGAGAGTTTTATCTTGCCAAGTTACGCTGTTCAAATAGCTGTTAGGTTTTTTGATAAAGAACACTTTGGATAAATGAATAAAATATGTGAATGATTGACTGCATGTATGCTTGAATGCATGTATAAATGTACGTATGTCTTGAATGTATGTAAAAATGTATATATGTTGATCATAAGATCAGGGGGGTTGAGCTAAAACCCAGAAAGGAATACAAATAAATCATAACAATAGGCCGCGGTATTCTAACCCTCGGGCATAGGTGTAGGCCGCGGTATTCTAACCCCCGGGCATGGGTGTAGGCCGCAGTATTCTAACCCCCGGGCATGGGCATAGGCCACGGTATTATAACCCCCGGGCATGGGTGCAGTATTTTGTCAAGTGCGAAGATTGCTTCCAAATATGGACTTTTATGCCGAGCTAGAAATATTTCTATAGGCCGAACACGGAAATGATTACCTGAACCAAATAAGATAGATTAAATAAGGTAGATATATCAGTAAAAAATTAGACCACGGTATTATTACCCCCGGGTGAGGGTGTAGACCTGTGGTATTATAACCCCGGGCAAGGATGTGGGCCTTTGCTAACGGCGCTCTGTGCCGAGTGCGAAGATTGCGCTGTACTCGGAGACTTTTGCTGATTTTAAGTGGCAACTAAGTGCCAAAGTAGCAAGGACTTTGAATAATGTATCATGTATCGAATAAGGTGGACGTGTTAATCACCAATAATATTGCTCCGCTTATATGGAATTGCCAAGTAGATATTGGGCCAACTATTTAATTGTCGAGTTGCTCGGTTTGCGTTTAGTCCAAGGTAGACTTGCTCCATTGCTTTCGAATGCCAGGTGTTAGTCGGAAGGAATGTAGATTCCCATTGCCCTATGTTGCAGGGAAGGTTCGGCTTTGGTAAAATGACGGCGCGTAAAAATATGGAAACTGCTGTCTGCCAAGTGTGTAATGTATTGCCTCAAAACGGGCGCTTGCTTGAAGCTATGTGAAAAGGAGCAGAAGTTTGTAACTCAAGTAATCGTCCTTGTAATGTTTGTACCAAGTTGGCCGAGTATTTATGTATATCAAAGGTGCCGAGATGATGATCGGCTGATGTGCCCCAATTAGAAAGCGGAAAATTGACTGATGTCCTAGTGGGCAAATGTTTTACCAAATAATGTTGTTAGGTGAATAAAGTTGCCGAATACTGTGGCCAATGTTGCTGCATAAAGTTTGACGATGCATAAAGTTGACAAATAATGTTGCTTAGCCGAATAGAGTTGATGCACCGCCGAATAATGATCATGCATAATGTTGAATTTAATAATGGTCGAATAATCTTGCTGGGTATAGTTGATGCACTGTCGAGTAACTAGTGTCAAAACATCGGTGTCCGTTTACACTTGGGTCGGCAATTGTGCCAATCGTTTGGTCGGCGACGTGTTGGCATTCCTTCGGGGTTAGGTTTGCTAAGAACTTGGTCAGCAGTGGTTGCCAATTTAGTGGAGTTGAGCTTCTTGTCCAACGTATATTTGCCCCATTGCTTTTGAATAAGATTTGTTATTCGGAAGGAATAAAATTGACTTGGGCCAAAATTGCCGAGTAGGCCGATAATGAATTGAAACGGATTCCGTGCCCCTGTCTGGTGCCGTGGCGATATCAGAATGAAGCCGAGACAAAGTAAGGTGCTTGGTGATATCGGAAACAAATCTGTAATTTATTTGTTTATTTATTTAATATATATGTATATATTTATTTTGTGCTGAATTTGCAAATTCTGACTGTACGGATGGCCTCGGAATGTGTCAGATAGCTGGAAAGGACTATTGGATTGCTGTGATCAGACTCCTGATGGCGTAATTATAGCCAAAATAGATCTAACGGCTTAGATCGATTGAGACTTTTGCTCCGCAAATCTCTGGATAATTTCCCTCATGGCTTGGCAAAAATAAAAAATAAGGATAAATAGGGTCAACAAGACTTGAACCCCTGCTTTAGGAGATAAAGAACACTGAACTACTACACCAAGACAAAGACTTATGCTCGTATTTTGCACATTATATATTTAAACTTAATTGTTTGGCTATTATGAGATGTAACTTAGCCGCAATCCGCCGAATAATTTGTTATGTTGGCCAACTCCAGGTTGTCTTCTCCAGCAACGATAGATGATTTTCTAGGCAAACTTCTATTAGCTCTTATGGCTTCGTTTTAGCTCCGATTAAGATGCGGTTTGTTGCGTTGGACTCGTCTCAATGAGTACTTCACGTTGGTATAACCAAAATTTGATTTTGACAGCTTCGTAAATTTCGGTTTTCGGTACATGTGATCCGTTTCGCAACATTTGGCGGGCTTTGGTTACTTCTGGTTCCTCAGGTTGGTGGCTTTGGACTCTTTAAGCCGATGTGAATCCTGTGGTAGGTTCAGATGTGGATTTCGGTAAGCCAAGATGCTAGTTTCATGCTGAGATAGTAGTGCTGAGATTTTGTAAAGCAAATTGTGCCAATTCAGGTGGCAGCCGAATGATATGCATGCAAGTACTTTCAAGAAGTGTTGCCGAATAAGAAATGTGATTGAGCAATCTTGCCGAGTAATAAATGTTAGCCGAATAAGCAATATCGCGGTGTAGTGTTTTCGAATACTTGCCGAATAAGTTGCCGAATCCGAGATAATATGTAGAGAACCAATAGTTGATAAGATGCCGAATGATATGCATGTGAGTATAAGATGCCGAATGATATGCATGTGAGTACTTTCAAGAAGTGTTGCCGAACAAGAAATGTGATTTGAGCAATCCTGCCGAGTAATAAATGTTAGCCGAATAAGCAATATCGCGGTGTGATGTTTTCGAATACTTGCCGAATAAGTTGCCGAAGCCGAGATATTATGCAGAGAACTAATAGTTGATAAGATGCCGAATGATATGCCGAATTTGCGGAGTTTGATAAGCAATGTTGCTGAATAGTAGCGCCGAGCAATTTTGTACTTTCGAGAAGTGAATCATGAGATTTTTGCTGGAGGTGAATAAATTAATAATTGTAGTTGTTCCGAGAATGTCCAATGTTGTGGAGTGGACGTATGTGTGGCCGAGTAGGATTGCCAAGAAAGGTGGAAGAGATGCCGAGTAGCTTTGTATCTTTGTCGAGCAATCTTTTATGAGTTGTAATACTGTCAAAATGCACATGCATGGGCTCAATAGCCGATTGATTCTTCAGAGTGGAGAAATTGTCAAGGCTTGCGAGATAAATTGTGGCTGAGATAGGTGGGTCGGCAACTATTTTGGCTCGCCGAAACACATTGGTCAGCAACTTAGTGTGAAACACTTGGTCGGCAATTCCTTTCGGTTGTGCCAGCCGGAATACTTGGCCGGCGACTTTAGCTTGGTGCTTTGGCAGAATATCACTTCGATTGAATTGCATCGCCCTCGAGATTCACATTAATTCGAATTTTGGATAGAAATTACATACATTCATCGGCAGTGTGGTTGCTGAGGTGTCTTTGTACAGAGACAACATTGAAACCCATTTGATTCTTCTCAAAAGCACCTACAACTGACAAATGTTTCACAATACATGTAATGTATAATATATAAATAAACTCTTAGACTGCCAATTCACAAGTTGCACTACTACAATTGATTAACCTTGGTTCTTTAGAGAGAGAGAAAGGAATTAATTACTGAGCAATATGTTTGTTGAAAGGTTTCCCAACAAGATCAACTAATAATATAATATTTCGACATGGGTGCATTCATACATATAGAAGCATAAATGAAAATAAGTTCTTTGGAAAATGATGGCTTTGTTACATATTTTGTCAACCAGTGCTATTCGGAGTCTGACATAATATTTTTTTTATCAATTCCTAGAGAGAGAAAACTTGCAACCCATAATTTTGTGATATATATATATATATATTTATATTTTATCTATGCTCATGCTTTTTGGGTTTGATTAAAAAACTAGTATACACACATATACGTAGACTAGAAATATACAAATAAATTCTTTCAAAGAGAAAAACAGCTTCCCTTATTCAGTGTAGGCCGACTTGCAGCCGATCATGTGGTTGGAAACTTTTCTTAGCTTCATGATGTGCCGAATCACTTGGTCGGCATCTCTTTGAATTTGGCTTTGCTGAGAATGTGGTCGGCAAGACTGCATTATGCATGCAACACCTTTGATCTTCAGTTTTGTCGAGATTTTGGTCGGCATCAATGTGAGCCATTAGAGAAAAAGTGAACCCAACTTGTTTAGCATAGGTACACGTGCGTACATATGAAGAATCAACTTCAAGATATGCTTTGTGAAACAAAGAATAAATAAATAAATAGATAGACACAT